ATTGATCCTGTGTGTGTAAATATCAGTGGAGTGCCCCTTTAATATAACCCAACAATCAGTTACATTGTGTGTAATACATTTCTGGTTTCATCATTTCAGTGTTTCAACAGCTATTTTACATTGCATTTGTGCACCCATTCCTCATTTGTCTTCTTGCCTGCTGCACTTAACTTCCATCTATGGAGCTGAATGCTTTAGCTTATTATAATAATCAAAACAAGGAGGTTCAGGACGGGTAAACAGCATTGATTGAGCATGGCGGCAGGGCCTTGATCCAAAAGAGTGATCTTACTCGTCATCTCCCACATGAACCTTCGCTCCAGTGAGATTACAAGGTCTGCTGTTTTGAAATGGCTAAACAGCTGCTCTTTGCTTTGCCATTAACTGGCGGATAGTTGAACCACATAGCAATCACACTGATTGTACAGGACCGATAACACTGCATTTGTGGAATTCAACAGGCCTTGAGATCCCCATGCAGAGCCGAAGGTGAGCTCAGGACGGATCACACTGAAGTTGATTAACTGTAACAGGAAGAGTTGGACATTTTGAGTTGTAGCTTGTTATTTTTCTCACCAGACACTTGACACTCAAGGGGAAAATGTTTTTTTTTTATAATAGCCCTTCCTGGCTTCCCTACTTTGTTATATAGCACTAAAATGTGCATGTGTCCATGCACTCTATAGCAAGGCAGCAAACTTGTTCTCTGGGGTCTGATTTGTGCACATTAAGAGACTGTATCAACCTCTCATTTTACACCTTTCACTCTTGTTTGAATCACTCCCATGCTTGTATTTTTGAGTTGAAGCTCACACATTCAGCCCACACTGTTTTAGGTACCGATGTCAGCTGCTCTGAAGGAGGTAAGATGACGGTGCCGAGAGAGTCACGGAGAATCTACAGAAGAGAAGTGAGATTTAAAACTTGTTTCAGAAGATTAGGCGGCCACATCCAAAAACATGATGACCACAAGATCTTCAACATGTTCAACAACAATAAGCTACCTCTGAGGAGGACTCACAGAATTCCTAAAATGTCAGCGTGTCGTAATGAGGAGGGCCCCGTGTTATGAAAGTAGCAAATCTTCCCAAAACATTTGATCTTTCAAAACTGTGTTGACCCGGATAACAAGAGCGTGCATGGCAGATAATTAAGTTCAGTTCCAATTTATTGCTGTGACATCACCCTTTGGTTTGTGGACTATACGGTTTTACATACAGACCAAATATATTACAATTAACTTTCATGAACAGGAAAAACATAAATCCCAAATCGGACAACGTTGTGGTAACGACCTGTCAATCATACAGTAGCCAGGCCCTAAAGCATATACCCTGCTTTATAGTCTATTTTACTCTAAATGGGACCATAATGTACTAAATGAGCATCATGATGTATCGAAGAAGGCTTGAAAGTAGCGATTGAGACCATAAACTCATGTTTACAATGTTTACAGATGTAATAAATCGAGTGAGAAGTACAGTAGGGTCATTTTCTCATAAATTGATCAAAGACTAAAATACAGTAAAAGGAAGTTGTATACTATCCTCTGGAGCAACACAAGGCCTCTGGGGATAATGCAACAATATTTACTCAACAGCGTTGACCTGTTTCAGATGGTCTCACTATCTTTTCTACTTTCTCTACTGGGCACACCACAAAGTTTTTGTTATGACTCTAAACACAAGCAAGTGTCTACTATCCACTGCTGGAGCAAAGTGTTGATGGTGAGTGTCTGACAGCGTGCGTTTGTTGTCAGGACCACTCAGGAAAACAGCCTCAAAATTTTCATAGCGGAACACGACAACGCTGCTTCTTCCATGAAGAGCAGGAATGCAGAGTGATCCGAAGCCAAAATTCACACCATTTTTATACTAAAAATACTAAATAATAAATTAGATGATGTCAGAAATCAATGAGATTCATCTAAAACTATAGGAACTAGAGAGCTTTGTATTCATATACAGTACATCTTATAGGACTATACTGGTTATTGTTACTCAAATTATTGTCAAGTTGTGTGTTGAGTTTCTTCCCTGTAGGCAGTAACTGTTCACTTTCATTTAAATCAACTTGCAGAGACGTGAAACTTGGTGACTGCATGGCTAAAAGTGACCCAAATGACCAAGAAACAAATGTTATTTATCTGTGACCAGTCTTTGAAGATGAATGGTGGTCTTTACTGAACAAATCTGCCTTTTATGGGTCCAAAGTCCGACAAACTGACAGATTGATGTCAAGTGTGCGCAAAAGCGCATTCACACAGGAATAAATAAAAGGCAGAAGACAGATTTTGTAATGAACTGCACTACGGAGAAACACCCACACGGACACACACACACACCATCCACGCAAAAGCCCTCGAGCTCACAGACAAAATGACTCGTCGGGATCCCTCCAGTAATTTCACTTTCCAGTATCCTGTTGAATGTAATCTGATTGTCTGAGTCTGTTTTCTGTCCGAGACAGATTTTAAGAGAAGACATCTGTTAAAAACTGTAAAACTGTTTGCCTTTCTTGTTTCCGACCCACACCGGCAGAAAGCCTCAAAAACGCACACAGACCGGAAACACACATTACAACAAAAACCACTGCAACTGGAGCAGAGGCATAAGGTCAGCAAGCTTCCTCTCTAACAAAAAAAAGAAACTACAGACACACACATGCACTTGCGTGCACGAAGCATTCCATGTGTGTGTTTTTGCATGCACGGTTTTTCGATTTTCAGAATGTCTCCCTCATATGACATCAATTTGTCAGCTGTGTGTGTGTGTGTGTGTGAGACTGCGTGTTTGTGTGTGTAAGTGCGTATGCCTCTGCTTCTCTCCAGCAGCAAAGTACTTGTGTTAAAGTTAAACAGTGCAGACACAAGCAGGTCGCCTCCTCCGTCAGCCCCACTAGAAGGGGAGCACAAACACAGACGTCAACTAAATCACCACCATTAACGTCAACAGAAAAAAACGCTGTAAAAGTCAAAGAATGTTGGACTATCGTTGTGTTATCATTCATTATCATTCAATTAAGGATTGCCATCGGCGAAATAAAACAAATTTAGGAAAAATTGAATCTGTCCTCCCTGAAGTTCAACACCTCAGATGATTCTAAGCTCAAGAAAACTCTACAGCGATGTGACAAACGACTTCAGATGGCTCACTTTATTTAAAGCAACATGGGGTTTACTTTCAGGACGGCAAGCATATTATTTAGGTGTCAGTTTTACACACTGAGGACTTTATTAAAGCAATAAATACAAAGGCAATACAGTTTAAAGTCAGTGCTTTGTCCAATTTGGTGCAATTTGCACACGTGACACGTTAAATATTTAAAAAAGACTTTGAATAAACAAGCGATAGTGTTCTGTTCAGGGTTCTGCAGACTGATGCTGCAATCCCTCGCAAATTAGAAGTCGATAATTCCAAGTCAGTCTTTCCGACTTCTGATCTAAATGCATCTTACGCCATCTGTTCGGGAAAACATGGCTGCAAAATTTGCCTGCAGCAGAGTGATGCTTGTGAAGCTGAGATACTTGCCATACAGACATCACTTCACTGCAGGCATCCATGTTTTCCCGAACAGATGCACTGGGACGCATTTAGATCGGAAGTTGCTGACTTGGAATTAACCACTTCCATTTACAGAGGCTGGATGGATCTTGCCCGAGTTTCCGACATGAAATTCCGACTTGCATGACCATTCCATTGCACTTTTCCATGTCGGAGTGCATTTTTTGTACAAAAGGATTTTAGCATGACCCCAGCATGTCGTCTGATTGTAAAATTGCTACTGCTGCTGGTTTATAACTTCACAAGCTGCTGCTGATGCTGCTGTTACTGTCTGTGCTGGCTTATTACTCCATCCACCTCCCCAGCTTCTACTGTTCCAGTTCCTTATTGCTGTACATGCCTATAAGTTAAAATAAGTAAAGGACTATATACATCTATGTATACAAAATACAGCATGTGTGCTGTATACATTTCCTGATGGGACACGATAGAAAGAAAAGCATATATGACACAGCTCGTGAGCAGATCTTATTTCTATAATATGAGTACACACTATGCTCCAAAATTGAATGACTCAACTATTAAATTAATTTAACACAAGTCTGATTCCTGGACAGTTTTCCTTTTCTTTTTTTTCTGGTAAAATGTTCCCTCTGCAGAGGAACACAGCTGTTTTGGCCATGAACATGTATTTCTAGAAAAGGCACAGCCTGTTCAGATCTATTATTTACACATTAAAGTATGACACATGGCCTAAATAAGAAATGATGACTTCATTCAAATAAGACGATGCCTTGCATCCAAGCCATGACATGGTGTCTCACTGCTGGTTTTAATGCACCGCCAATGATTGAACCAACCTATGATCCATAGGATGTAGACTGAAACTAAATCAAATCATGTTTTTAAAATCGAAATGTCTTCAAAATGGCAGACATTGAATCTAACCTAATCTATGCCACCAATCAGTAATTTATACAGTGTGTCATCTTGTACTGTGATGTCCATGTTACATCCGTAGGACGTTTGCAGTTCAACAGCAGCCCTGGGCCGACTGGCCTGACTTTTGAAATGTCTGCAACTGAACAAATCGAACTGTAGAGCAAGAAATCTCTGTCTGTCTGTCTGTCTGTCTTTCTGGGTGTTCTTCGAATATCTCGAGAACCGCTCATCCGATCTACTTCACAGTTGGTGACAGTTTTTCTGTGGACCCCGTGGAGTGCTCCCTCGAATTTGGTGCAATTTGGACACGCGACGCATTCAATATGAATAGACTTTGAATAAATGAGTGAACAGCACTTTTTGTAGAAGCAGGGGCGAAGTTCGCAGACTTCATGACTTCGCAGATTTGATCATGTCATCTGTAAATGCACATTCGTCTCTCGATGCAAGAGAAGACAAATGAACCTGGTTCCCGCCTGAGGTCTTGATTTCTTCTTTGATGGACTTTTAACACGGAGCACAGCAAGACAACCGAAATATTCACCATGTGTTTACCTCAGTGCCATAGACGTCCCGTTGCCCGACGCAGCCGAGTATGCTCTTTGGGTGTGTCCATAGGAACAGCTCCCCTGCCGTGCATACCGCTCATCCCCACAGCAGAGAATCACCAGAAACGCCCTCCGAAACGCCCGGTTCAGAAAGGCGTACAGGAAAGGGTTCAACCCTGAATTAATGTACCCGAGCCACAGCCAGGCTGTCCACAGCTGCCAGGGCACTGAGTAATGGATGAATGGGTCCACCACGTTGGTGATGAAGAATGGCGCCCAGCATAGACAGAAACAACCCATTATAACCGCCAGCGTCTTTGCCGCCTTAGTCTCAATGCGCATGCGGCTGTTCGCTATGGGACCGTGGTCTGAGGAGGAGGAGCCCATTGTTGTCCTAAGGCGGTAGTGCTCCGACGGATCTGAGGAAGTGGAGGACCTCACGGTGACAACTGGAGTCGTTCCAGTGACGGGAGCAGAGCCGGCCCGCTGCAGTGTCTCGATCTGCCGCACATGGGTCATGGCGGTGACGTAGATCCGCTGATAGGCCAGGACCATGAGAGCCAACGGGACGTAGAAGGCCACTGTGGAGCAGATCAGGGCATACGGCCGGTTGACCAGAAACACACAGCTGGTGTCGTTGGAGCCTCCTGCCAAGGCGTGCCTCTCCTCAATCTGGAGAGGAGATGAAACACGGACACAAAAATAACAAATCATTTATAAAATGAACAAAACTTTATTTTTTTCATTTGTGCATGTATGAAACAAAGAAGATAATTGATAAGGTGTTAAAGGTAGAAGTGTTTTTGGACTTTGAGGAGGCTAACTACTAAGCTAAGCCTTAAAATCCTAACCTAGGAACTGTTAAAAGGTATCTTTCACAGAATACACATATTGATTAATTCTGGTTGCAAAGCTAAGATAGAGACGAGACTCCTTAGTTTCATATCACCATGTCACCAGGAGTGCGGAGTCTCATTCTGTCTTTGGTGGAAATGGAGCAGAGAGAGTTCACACCAAGATGACATACTTTACCGTATCGTTTAACTTGTGTCACAATTATTAAATCAGTTCCTGTGGCTTTGTGACAGCTAGAGTGAGAAGAAGTTACAATTTCAAACAACTCCTTTTTTGGGCAGAACAAGAGTGCGATGGAAATTTCCTGAATTTTTGAGAGAAAGACAAGCGGCCAAAGATGAAAAATGTACACACAACAGATAAAAACAAACTAAACACTAAAACCTGGCCTAAATGTGCAGACATAAGTCAAAGCAAGTCCTATGCAATTTTGTCCTTGACATATGACTTCAAGCCATCCAGCCAGCTCTTAAAAAACAAAAGATTGTTCTTTGGATGCTGCCAGACTGAAAGACAAAGAAAAGAGCAGAGTATTTCATTAACTCTGGCTGAATAAATTCATCTATCCTCGTCTGCCTCTGGGAGTCCTGCAGCTCATTTCAAGGCAGCTCTGAAATAACCTCACGCCAAAACATATCCAAAGCAGCAGGAAATGCTTGTTGAAGTGCTGTCTTTGCTCGCAGCGAGAGAGCCTCCACAGGGACTGGAATTGTTTTGTGATCACTGCATTAGCGTGTCATTGTACCAGGGATTGGAAACGTTATTAGAAATAAAGAATATTAGGTTGGAAAGGTATGCTGCATTTGCCCTCACAGAAAGAACATCTCTCTCTTTAGGCGTTTGAGGGAGGTATGTGAACTGTTAAGTGTGATACTTTGTTAAAATAAACAGTATATTTTGTTTATGCAGGGCTGTATTAAAATTGTAATAAAAAATAATAATGTAACCAGCAGTTGCTTTTGAGCCCCCTTTTTGATTTTCAATCTCAGCGGCTGAGGACTCACAATGTCCTCGATGCCGATGGCGTTCCAGCTTTGCATGATGGGTAGAAAGGAGATGAAAATGGGGATGAGCCAGCAGCCACTGAGCATCACCGCCACTCTGACCGGGGTCATCTTGTGTCTGTAGACCAACGGCTGGCAGCAGATAGCGTAATACCTGGAGTAAGACACACACAACACACACACACACGCACACACACACACGTGATGTACACTAGACAGCCTACGAATGAGGTTCAAATCCCCCTCGTTCGTCTCTCGCTCAAACACACAAACCTGTCCAGCGCTATGCAGCAGAGGTGCAGTATGGACGCTGTGGTCAACAGGACGTCCAGGGACGTTCGGACCAGACAGAAGATCTCTCCGTACCGCCACTCTCCGGTGGTCAGCTCGATCGCAGCGAAGGGCATCACCAGCAACGCAACCAGCAAGTCGGCGAACGCCAGCGACACAATGAAGTAGTTAGTCTTCTTCTTTCTGAGAAGAAAGCAGGGAAAAAAGACAGCATCAAAGAATCAGTGGAAGTTCATGGTGTTCTGTATATGTTGTACTGTGCTTTCATGTCTCACATGACTGTAATACGCTCTAACCTTTAAAGGTGCTTCCTTTTCAGTTTGCCAGCTGTCAGTGTGACTTTTCAGAAATATGAAGCGACTGGCAAGTGTCCTGTTTTCCATGTTTTAAATGAAGCCTGCCCGATGTGGGTTTGTAGGATTGAGGATTTCTTTTTAAATGAAATGCCTTTTCAAAACTTTTCATGTATAGATCAAAAACATTAGTATGGGTTTGTTTGACTTCGATTTTAGGCTACCAATCTACCGGTCCAGTCAGAAACTTTTTTCAGGAAAGGATCTCTGTAATGCGAGCACTTTGACATTTGACGGGTTCAGTCCAAGGCACGTGTCAATTTACAAAACCGTTTCCCCAGAATGCATTACACGATACAGTGTGTTTTCAGTACAAATAGTACGAAACAAATGCCCTGACTTCGTCTCTGTGTTTGTGTTGCTTGTCTCATTAAAGTCACATCTGACTTTAACATCAAACGTTTTCCAAAGTATACACAACATTTTAGGTGAATTTCGTGGCAGTGAACATGTAGCTGCCTTTATTTCTTGTTGAGGTAAAAGGGAAAACCTTGAAGTGTGTGTTTTGCATGGATTCTGCTGCCTGCAAGTAGACCCTTCTCATTTCACCGGTGCTTTAAGCCAGTTTGCACTGTTACTGCTTCCAGTATTTAAAGATTGACAACAGGCTCACCTTAGATATCTATCCTTGCAGAGTGCCACCATGACCAGCAGGTTGCCAAACACTGTCATGATGATAATAATGGAGAGAAAGATGGTCAGAACAATCGTCTCCAGCAAGCTCAGGAATTCCTGCTGCTCTTGCTGTTGTTCTTGTCCTCTGTTTATTATGTCATCCAACAAACTGCGAAAATAAAAAAAAATTTAAATAAAAAACTCCTCATATATCAGATTATTTAGGGTAGATTATATTGATAGTATTGATAGTACTGTAGATAGAAAGAGAGGAAACAAGATAGAGAGAGGGGGAGAACAAAATGCCAGGGATGTTGCAAAATTAATTTTATGTTTAGACTGAGATTAAATACAAAGCAATAATAATGAAATTAAACAGGTTTATTTTTATGTAATTTGTAAACTGGTTAATTATAGTATATATATATTTTTTTTTTCTTTGTGTAACAGAGTTTGAATTCATGACTTACTGTAGAGGTGATGTTGTGGCCATCACTGGTCATCTGCATTGAGGTCAGCAGAGGGTAGTCCTCATCACCCCATGCCTTGGCCCTGTTGACACACACACACACACACACACACACACACACACACACACACACTTGCGGTGAGTCTCTAGTAGCCAGCTTGCGTGTACAGACGGGCTGGATTTATTTTTGTTTGACCTTGTTGATGAAAATGATTATATTTGAACCTCAAATAAGAAACTGGATTACAGCTTGAGAGCATGTAATATTTAGAAGACAAATAGGCTGCAACAGACCGCAGCTGTCTCTGCCAGATTCCATCAGCATGTTAGTTTGTCTTTGTAATGCAACAATAATACATACCATGCTTTAGTTAGTACCACAGGGGAAATTCTCCTTTCTTACTCCCCTGTCAAGGGAGGTCAAAGGTCAGATATTAGCTCCAGAACAGCGCCTCTGGGACTAGCGGGAATTCGGCAGATCTTGGTTCTCCCTATTGAGGGACAGTCTGCAGGCAACATATTGATTTTACGAACAACAGCCTGAGGTATTGAGATGAGATTCTCTTTACAATGAGAGACGTTAAAGCGTTGACTCTGGGTCATTATCGACCAGGACCCTGTCTGCCTCTCTTTTTTTCTGTCAAATCAATAACTTCTGATCCAGATCAGTAGACAGCTTCTTATGTTTTGGCTTGGATAATTACAGCTCTCTGAGTAAGTCCAAGGATATCAGTGGACACTCCAGAAATCAACCCAAAAAGAACAGAGCCATATGTTTCTGACATTTTTGCTTTCTCTCAATGTAGCTAAAATGATTTACGTGAATATTATTATTATAATTGATGTCTTTGTCAAGCAATTTTGATCTCATTGTCGACTCTGCGTGGACTGACTGCTGTTTGTGTCTCTATTCACAGCACACATCTATGATGCAGTGCCAGCCAGGGTCCTTGAAAGTAAAGCTAATGAGGAAGTGACTTAAACTTGCATTCTTTCTAACGACCAGCAGGGGGCGACTCCTCTGGTTGCAAAAAGAAGTCCGATTGTTTATGAGAAAATGACCCTACTTCTCACTTAATTTATTGATTTATTAACTATTACGATTGTCAGTGTGTTTGACGGTATTTTGTCATAAAATAAAGTATTTGACAAATACAAATTTTGACCTTTATGGTGGCGCTAGAAGAAAAGTCAGAGGATTACCAAAGTTATTTGAGTTTATCCAGTGGGAAGATTGAATTTCTGTATCAAGTTTCATCGCAATCCATCTCATAGTTGTTGCAATAATCACCAAATGTTCACCGAAGTGGTGGCCCGTCCGATACACTTAGTTGCTGCTAGCACGGCTAAAAATAGATGTATCATAGAATATAAAGAAAAATATATTTCACTAAGGACAGACGCAAGTACATGCAGTTTCTCTCTATGTTTACAATATAGTTGACTGAGAGGATTCTATTAAAATCAGCCAACGTGACAGAAATGACAAATAAAGGTTAAAAATGTCTGAGTCATAGTCTGAGTCATTTTACCGTAAGTATCTGTTCTTGATGAACAGCAGAGAACCTTTCATCAGTGCAGTTGTAGATGCCTTATCAGCTTTAAGCACCTATTACAACATCTGCTTTCTCTGCCATTTTATGATGGCTTCTCTTGTCTTATCTACACAGTCAATATCATCTGACAGACTGTGACAGCCGGCGATCCTGTCAACAACTCCTACTTCCTGCAGGCACTTCACCGAATCGAGTTTGTCACGACTAGTCCAGTAATTCTCAATTGTTTGACCTGGTGTTGATGCAATGTTGACTGTAAGGCTTTGATGCGTCACTTCATTTTATCTTGACAATTTTTTTTTATTCTGTTTGTGTTCTTATATAAGCATCGCTCAATCTTGGCATATAACCACTTGACTTGTCTCAGAGTAAACAGTTACAGTATGGGTCAGCCAGATTGGTCTCGATTTGCTCGCTGATCCCCAGAGACAAAAAAAAAGGCCTGACCTAATCAACGGCTTTTACAGTTCTGACTTGTCCCGTCTTCACATAATACATAACATTCATTGGATTGTGAAATTGAGCTGAAATTGAAACCAAAACAAAGGTGTTTTTCTATGAACGGCTCCACTGTCTTGAGGAGAGCAGAGAGATAACACAAGAGGATAACACCAAAGCCTCATTGTACTTGGCTAAAGAGCAGACATACCATTTGTACTTACATGGGCCAGAAAGACACTAAGTTCTTTTTTTCTGAACACATGCGGACCATGGACAGACCGCCATCTTTGGTGGTCAAGTACCCACACAGATGTCTTATGATTTTCTTAATTCCCAACCAGGAGAGCATGTACTTAAGGCTGTACCTCGGCAGTTCACAGGGGTTAAGTGGAACAATTGTGAAGTTATTTAAATTTAATTATGCTTTGAAAAAAAACTCAACAAAAAAAAAATTGTTAAGGGGGAGAAAAAAAAAGTTGATTACAATTTGGTCATCATTTAGTATATTTACTGTTGTAATAACCAGTTAACTACCACCTACATCAGACGGCTTGCACAGGTCACGCTACACCAACCTAAGTCAGTTATAAACCTGGAAACATTTTGTAATGCTATGCCGTTTTATTGCATTAATAGCGCTAAATAATATCCGCTTCATGGAAATCCATTCAATAAAACACATTTGGAACAGGACGGATGGTGTTGAAGACATACTTGAGTTCATCCAACGGGGCAGCAGGGGTACTTCAGACAAGAAAGGTTGGGAACGACAATCATACACAATCTTAATAACAGTCACTTGATACATAAGCTCGGACTAAAGGGTTCAGTACTCTTTAAACGTTCTTGGTCACGTCTAAAGGCAGGTGCAAGTGTTCATACCTGCTCTAAAAGACCTTACAGGAGCCTGCATTATAGCGAGGAGAGAGACGCAATGAATTCTGAACGATGAACAAATGAAGCACCTTGGTAGCCGAGTGTTGACAGTGCATGCTATAACCTCCATGTCCCGGATTTGATTCGAGCATTGGTTCCTAAGATGCATGTCGCACCCATCTCTCCACCTCCATTTCTACACTGTCGTCTGTCAAATAAAGGCAAAAATGTAAAAATAAAATAAAATAAAGAGATCAGGCCAATACATGTTTTCTATAAGATCTAACAAGCACTAATTTGAAGCAGACTGCGGCCTTTAGGGGCCCCTTGACCCCTCGGGCACCTGGCACCTGTACCCGCATCATTAGGACAAAAAAACGCTGATTATACACACAGCAAATATAATTAAATGTCAAGTTGCTGCAGGAATAATTTGGCTCAACAATGGTGCACAGATTGGATGTTGTTCAGCTTTGCATTGTCATTATAACACCCAGTTTTTAATAGAACACCAAAAACATGACGGATTGCTGTTTGCATTTCAAATGGTCCGTAGAGGAAACTGTAATGATCATTATCCTCTCACACACAGAAATCATCCCTGGACCAGAGAACTAACACTACCCACCCTCGTACCCGTTGCTCACTCAGTCACTAGGGAATGAGAATCTAGGGAATGAGAAAATATTACCTCGATCTCAATATCAACAATAGGAAGAAAAAAAGAAGTGAGTAGGAAAGGTGAAGAGCCGTGCCTCTGACAGATTGCTGCGCTCCTCTTGTGTGATGTGTCTCCAGGGAGGCGTGTTTTCACAGCTCACCGTGTCCATTTCACATCGGGCTGACACCGCTGCACAGAACGGAATGAACTCTGGAGAGCAGGGAGAGACTAGGTTGCTTTTTGACTATTCACAGTTATTGCTATTCAAAAAGCTTCTTTTAAGTTCTGAGAACAAAAACATCATCATTATTGATTTTGGCCAAAACTCTACAAATATATACTAAAGCTAAATTGTGCATCAACTCAGTGAAGCTGGCATAATTGCAAATGTAAATAGAAATAAGACTAAGAGTCTTGAGACATTCTAGCAGCTCTGTGAGACTACTCAGGCGCGGAGGCGCTTAGAGCTAAATGCTAATGTCAATGACAATGATAACACGCTAATGTTCAGCAGGTATAATGTTTACTATATGGTTATCAGCTTGGTTTTTAATGTTAGCATACTCATTTATCCAGTTAGGACGAAACACAGCACACATCTGAGGCTGTTTTTGGTCATAAACCAAAGGAATTTGTTTTTAATTCTGACTAGATGATGGCACTAAACGACAAGTCAAAATGATCACCAAACTTATTACAATTCATCCCGTAGGGAACAATTTCATGGGAAGCCATACAATAATAGTTGGGACATATTACAGTACCTAAAACCATAAATCTTAGCAAATCCACAAAGTCTGGGTCCCATGAATTAGTGTTGACATATTTTACTGTATGAATGAAAGCTTTGACCTGCTGTGGACCAAAGTGGTGGACCAACCGACTGACCGACCGACATTGACCTCCGTAGAGCTACACCACTTGTGTGGCTAAAAACAAGACAGGCTGACATATTCAAATTGTCATAGGTAGAGTAATTAGGTGGAAAAAACACACAAATCAGCAACATGAACAACATCAAGTCAAGAGTAACAAGTACAAATACTAAAGGAGATCAGCTCAAGTCCAAGACATTGAAACATGTACAGTATATGTCTGTAGATAGACAGACAGACAGACAGACAGACAGATAGATACAAACAAACAGGCAGACAGACGACGTAGGAGGACTGACTGACTCATCTGATGTGAGCTGTAATTAGAAGATGCTCACTTGCCATCTGAGAAACTTCCTGATCTTCTGGGCTGCACAAACTGCCTACCTGATGCATGTCTGAAAACCCGACTCTACTTGACTGAAGACCAAGTTTATGTTCGTGTCAAAGACATCCCTGGAAAGATGTCGTTTTTTAGCTATTTTCACTTCTACATCAGGTTTTTAATCTCCATCTGTGGGAGAACACTACTGCTATAATTCTGCTTCTAATCAATTTCTGCCACTGAATTTAGAAATCACTGGGAAATGTGATCTACAAAGAAATGGTTATTATGCACTGTATGCCACACACACACACACACACACACACACACAAACACACAAGCACAATTC